TGCCTGTCCCCAGCCCGTCCCACCAGCCCACAGCTCCCACCCGTGCTCAGCACCCAACTGCAGCTGGCAGAGTGACCCCACGGCCTGGCCTCGCCTGTCCAAACCTGCACAGTCACTCTTCAGCCAGGGGACACTGCCTGTCCTCTCATCTCCATCACTGCTCTGCTGGGCCAAGCTCTCCAAGCTTTCCCCATCCCCACTCACCCTCCCATTTCTGCCCCGCCCAGGCTGGCCCTGCACAGCTCACACCTGCCCTCTCCTCTGGGCCTGCTCCCTTCCCCAATGTTCCCTTTGCTCCTCCCTCCCATTTCCCTGCTGCAGGCTCTGATCCCTACCTGCTCTCCCAGGTGCTGCTGGATGAGACAGGTGATCTCTTCCTGCTCCTGTGCTCCCAGCTTCCTCACAAAGAAGAGCAGCTCCCACCACTCGGCACGGCTCAGGGTGTCTGCAGCCTTGGGCAGCCGCTGGCCCAGGTAAGGCAGGGAGTACAGCCCCCCCAAGGGCTTGCACAGGAATGCCTGTGGAACTGCAGGGCAGCAGGGCAAGGGAGGGCTCTGTCAGCTCTGCCAGCTCCCCCATCCTCTGCTGCACACCCCACACTTCAATCCACACTCTAAGTGGGATATGATGCCTGGAAAGAGTTATACAGAGAAGTTTTGCTTCCCCAAAATCAGAAAGGCCATGAAAAGGAGAAATCTAACTAAGTCTGTTTTAAGTTAGACACTGCATACTGACATGAAGTTAAGCCTTTAAATACAAGAGGTAGAAGCCATTTAAGAAATCATCTTTTCAACAGGAAATAAGAATAGTTTCAAAGTGTGCAATTTGCTGCTGACCTCAACATTCTCTCTTGCAGCCAGTAAATTCAAAGCACTCTACACAAAAGATATTCTAGAAGGCCACAGCTGTGATAAAAGAGTTACTTTAATAGGTTTCCCTGGCTAGAATCATGTCAGATGCTAAACAAGAAAGGAGTATCTGAAGTCTGGATTCTGCCTTTCATTTTTCTCCCAGTACAAGGGCAGTGTTAAAGGTTCTAGGAGATGTTGCACATGTCTTACAAAAACAGTTCTTTAATATTTTAACACCTTGTTTAAAGCTTAATAGTATGAAGTTAAACAAATTGTTGCTATGTTCATGCTTTTAAAAATCCTTATCATTTACTTAAGGGGACTTGAGTGCCCCCAGAGAAATTCTAAAAAGTTGTCAGAGAAATTAATGTTTTGGCAGTTCGGTCAGTTAATCCAAACATAAAGTTTTGACAGTTGCAGTTTAAATCAAATTTTGTCACAGACATTTTTTATGAAAAATCTTTTCTTTACGATTTTTCCTCTTGAGAAGCTGAGAGGCCTCAAGAACAAAATGTAAACATTGATTAACTGCTGCTGTGGAATGCAACAGGTAGATCTTTGATTAGCCTATGTTAGTTGTTTCTAATTAATGGCTAATCACAACTCAGCTAACTCCGACAAAGAGTCCGAGCCACAAACTTTTGCTATCATTCTTTCTTTTTCTATTCTTAGTTGGTCTTCTGATGAAATCCTGTCTTCTATTCTTTTAATATAGTTTTAATGTAATATATATCATAAAATAATAAATCAAGCCTTCTGAAACATGGAGTCAGATCCTCATCTCTTCCCTCAACCTGAGACCTCTGTGAACACAGTCACAAAATTTTATACTTTTTATATCATTACTTTCATTATACATCTCGACAGAAGTCTAGGGTTCAAAAATACTCCATTCAATCACAAGCCATGCAATTCCTTAACTAGTTTTACATGGTCACACAAACTAATAGTGCTTTCTAAACCCAGCCTGCTACTTGCTGTGTGTTTGGCCACATAAAGGTCACCACTGCTATCCCACAGGATAATCAGAAAGAAAGAGGTGATATATACACATGACAATCTCACCTGTGTCTAGACTGAAGCTCTTTCTCACACTAGATTCCTTTTCCTGAGCAGCAGGATCTTCCCACTGGTCCCCAAAGCCAACAATCTCCAGGATGTGCCACCGCACCCAGTAGGTCCGACCCGTCGACTGCCGTAAAACCTGGGGGTGAAACAAATCCAGACAATCAGAACTGCTCACTTGTTCTGTCCTCTTGCTACACCTGTCTTCCCACTTCCCAAAGAAGCAGAAGACCACAGAATTATTGTACATAGTCCAGTTTTGAGTCATACCATCTTTACTAACTTCTTGCCTCTGCTTTGTCCAAGTTGTCTCTCAAAAATCAAAAGGACTTTTTATGGCTTCCCATACCATAGTGTTACATTTAACCTTCTGAGTAGAAGGAGAACCCAGCAACAGCAAGTACAACCTGTCAGTAGCTTTAAAAAACAGCAGAAAAACTTATGGTTTGCTTATTTCACTGAGCTCTTTTGGAGTTACACCAGTGCTACTATGAACCCATTGTGCTGGACAGATGAGATGCTGACAGACTTTGGGGAAGCACTGTATGGAAGGAAGTTGAGTTAAACTACACCCAACAGCAAATAGTCTTCAATGTATCTCTGACCTAAACTAGGTACGTACCAAATGCCATCTCAAAGGAGCCATGGAAAGATAGGGCTGCAGGACCAGACACAACAGGGAAAATCTTTCTTTGGAAAGGCAAGGAAAGCAACAGAAATCAGAGCAACAAAGGAAAGATGAGACGAGGTAAGAGACAGAGTTGTGATGGACTGGCCCAGTTGCCATTCATATCTGGTTTTGTTAATAGTGTGAGCCTTACAAATAACTTACTGAAAATAAGCCTGAATGGAGCAACTGCAAATTCATTCAACCTAATTAAATAGAAAAATAAACAGAAGAGGGAACCCAAGGGACCAACAGGACAAAGGGAATGGAAGCTAATAGTACCCTTTAGCTAAACATTGAAGCAAAAACCCTTTGACATTTATGTCACTGGCAACAGGAGAAAATAATGAAGGGATCTTGATGCTCTTTCCAAGTGCCCAGTTTATCAAGAGTAAAAGTAAGTACAACTTTATAAGAAAACAGATATCACAATTTTAGGAAAACAGAGATATTAGAAACCAAGATGTATAAGGACAAAGGGAGAATCAGTATGAAATACATTTCCTTTGCAAGTTATCTTTATGGAGGGTGCTATAAAAGAGGTTTATAAACCACTTCAAAATAAGTGGTTTATAAAAATAAGAAAAAAAAAATAAGATGCAAGGCAGTTATTCAGCTGAGGAGGCCTGAATAGAAACATCATCAATGCACGGATCAGAACTAGAAAAGCCTTTTAACTGAGGTACATGGAAGGCAGGGAGGTGATTCCAGAAAACCAAGGGAGAGTCTTGCCTGGCCAACCTACTGGCCACCTATGATGGAGTGACCACATCAGTGGCCAAGGGAAAAGCTACGGCTGTCACCTTTCTGGACTTCTGTAAGCCCTTTGACAGCAATCCCACAACATCCTCCTCTTCAGACTGGAGAGACATGGATTCAACAGATGGACTATTTTTGATGGAATTGGTTGAATGGTCATATTCAGAGGTCAACAGCTCAATGTGCAGCTGGAGCTTAGGTGACAAGTGGTGTCAAGGGTCTGTATGAGGACCAATACCATCTGATATCTTCATCAGTGACAACAGTGAGACTGGCTGCACTCTCAGCAGGTTTGCTGATAACACCAAGATGAGCAGTGCAGTTGACATGCCTGAGGGATGGGATGGGATAGGATGGCATCCAAAGGAACCAGTGGGAACCCCATGAGGTTCACCAAGGCCAAGTGCAAGGTCCTGCACCTGGGCTGTGGCAAACCACAATACCACTCCAGACTGGAGGACAAAGGGATTGAAAGCGGCCTTGGCAGAACTGGTGGATGAAAAGCTGGGCATGACCTGGCAATGTGCACTCAGAGACTCAAGAGCTAACCATATCCTGGGCTGCCTCAGAAGCAGTGTGGCCAGCAGGTGAAGGGAGGTGATTCTGCCCCTCTGCCCTGCTCTGGTGAGACCCCACCGGGAGAACTGCATCCAGCTCTGAAGACTTTGGTACAAGGCATGCACCTGGTGGAGCAGGTAAAGGGGAAGGCCACAAAAACAGTAAGAGAACACCTCTGCTATGAGGAAGTGCTGAGAGAGTTGGGGTTCTTCAACTGGGACAAGAGAAGGCTCCAGGGAAACCTTACAGTGACCTTTCAATATTTAGAGGGGGCTTGTAAGAAAGATGGGGACAGACTTTTTTTGGTAAGGCCTGTTTTAGAGGCTAAGAAATCTTAGTGGCACAACCCATACAAAACCAGACTAGCCTTCCCTGCAACCCACCCCTCCAGCTCTGAAAGGTGAGTGTTTTGCTAGGACAGAAGCAGTGATACACATTAAGCCACACCTATTGTCCAACCTCCGGCACACAAAGGCATCATTAGGAATTCAGCAGTCACCCCAGTCACTCCCCTCTGCCATTCCAGCCAGAAGAAGTCTCCCCATGACCTACCTGTACTGTGTGCATGTTATTGGTGCTCTGGAGGAACTCGCCTTCCTCCCCAGCTCTGATGTCACCACAGTCCTCCAGCAGGCGCACCCGCATGCCGCGCACCAGGTGTGCCCGCAAGTACTCCGTGTAGTCACTGCTGTCTGCAAAGTCTGATGCACTCAGGAAGGCACAGCCCTGCTTCTCATGAGGAGCAGGATTTGAAGGCAACACAGGCTTTTGGGCAGCAGAGCTGGCCGGGGGCTTGTGCTGGAAGATGGAGCGGGCAGGGCGAGGCTGCGGGTCCCGCCTGTGCCTGTGGCTCCAGCCCATGGCGTGCACCAGCTCCGAGATGAGGTTGGCCATGGCCATGCTGAGCTCAAACTCCTGCTTCACACGGCTCCTGTGCTCAGGGACGGGGCTGGGCACAGCACAGCCCTGCTGCTCCTCTCCCTGCTCCACGCTGCTGCTCAGCTTGTCCAGGAGAGAGGTCACACACAGGTAGCGCTTCACCAGGACAAACAGCTGCTTCCCAGGGATCTGCAACAAGCACCGCTCTCACACTCAGCCCCCAGCCCATTCCCAGACGCTCCCATGAGACCTCTCAGCCACCCTGCCCTCCCTGCTGGCACACCAGGCTCTCCAGGTGCCTCTGCACCACCCCAGCCTCTCACCAGGCCCAGGCCCTGTCCCAGCTCTCCCTACAGCCAGTCCTGCTCCCCTGCCCACCTTCAATCCCCTCCTGTCCCACACAAGGGTCCAGCCCTGGCCCCGCTCCCACCCTCCTGCCCCTCACGCCCCACAGGCCCAGGGCTGGGGGCGGCCCTGTCACCACCTGTGGGAGGTGAATCCCCTCGAAGGACAGGCAGGGCTCTGCAGAGGATGTGATCTCAGCAAACAGCTCCAGCAAGGTGCAGCGGCTGTCAAAGTCCATGTGCTGCTCAATGCCATCCTGCTGGCTCAGGGACAGCAACACATGGGCCCAGATTCCTGCAACAACAACAAAAGCTCTTCAGGCCCCACAAAGACAACCCTCACCCCAGCTCCCTGCCAGAGACAGAGCTGCAGGGAAGGAACGGCTTTGCTGTTCCATGTCACCTGATCCACGTTCTGTCCCTTCCTCTGCAGTGGCAACATTTTGCTCCATGCTGTATTTTCTCTACCCCTGACACTGAGAGATTCTCACAAAGCAGCAACCCCAAATAACTGATTCCAGAACAGGGTCC